TGAACAAAATCAATTGCTTCTGCCAGAAAAGGACAAGAGAAATATTTCTAAGCTATTGCTGCATCGTAATTTTAGGCCAACAGCCAAATATTCCAGCTGTTTTCCCAGGGATACACCAATATCCAAAACTGCTACGGCTTTAAAAAGTCTTTTCTGCTGCAGAAACACAAATACAGGAAAGATCCATTTTCATCCATACAGCTGGAGCCTTTGAGCACTTCCAAGAGGAGATGATTTTTGCTCAATCTCACCTAGCGTTGCCAGTTGTCTCATACAAAGTCAGAGCTTCACATCATGAACAAACCTAGAATGACATACTTCCAAGTATCAATGCAAACAAAATGTTTTTGCAGCAGTCTCCTCTTGCTAGCCTAGCACCCAGAGATTACGAATGAGCAGTTCTGACATACAATAGTCTTTTTGAAAGTATTCAGGTCAAAAAGAAAAGCAAAACCAAAAGAGTCTTATGTGCTGGTTTACACTAAACCAACAAGAATTGCCTGTGAAAGATTTAAAGGACCTCTCTTCTGTGCATGCACCTACATGCTATGCACTGTTACTGTAACAGAGCAAGAAACATACACAACACAACTATCTAGTCCAGACATGGTACTTTCTCACCAAGAATGTACATTATAATGGATCAGCAAGTGAACAGAGTACTGGACAACAAGAGAAACCTGGGCTGAATGTGAAAACAAACACTAATATAGCAACTAGGCTTCAAAACCTGGGAGTTTAAATTCATAGCTGCAGAGTAAAAGCAGATAGAAATTTTAAGGCTAAGGTGCAAGGAGATACTCAAAGACAATACACAAAGACAGCCGAAGTATTATGAAGATTCATCAAAACAATTGACATGAAAGGCTTTGGAATGACAAACTGGAACAATATTCAAATGGAAGGCAAAGAATATAACTCAGTGCAGAAGCAGAGAAGAGATGTAGCAAAGAACAAGAATATGCATGCTCCCAGGCAAACTGAATTTTTTGTTGTCATTTTACCAGAGACAAGAATGAATTTGTACACACATTTAGGAAGCAAAACTTATTCTCATCACTCTCTACTATTCTGAGACCAAGGAGAAAAATCAGCTTTTACTGTACACTATCTACTGTTGCAGGGCATGGAAGAGCACCCATGAACTAGGAGGAGTTGTGTTATGCTAAGGAACTGGACCTCAGGGGCCAGAATCCTTTACAAACATCTTCATCCATATTCAGGCTTTGTAGTTTGCTTGCTTGTCTTATACTTCTCAGCATCTGCAAACAACCCTTCTAGTTCGAGAAGCCAAATAATTTGTCAACATAAACTTGACATCTAACCCCTTTACCCTCAAAATCTTTAAAAAGTCAGTATTTAGTATTACAGAAACAATGCTGCAAAGCCTGCAAGACAATTGTGGCGATGGATGCTTGCATTTTTCTTCTTTGTAAGCTATGTCCATCAACATTAATTTCTTCAGGGAATTTTATGTTCAATACCTTCCTCCAGGTTTTGGTTTTGGCTCCCTCCCCCCCCCCATATGACTGTTAAATGATAGGCATAAATTAAGACATCAATGAGAAATCCTTCTAGAAATGTCATGGTCTACCCTTGTCAGTGAATACTTGTACAAGCCTTTATCCTAAGGATGGCTAACCGAAAATAAAAGTTTCGCCTCTAAGTTATCATTGTCTATACAAACAGTCAGAAATTACATAATGTAATTCTGAGCACACTGTCAGGACACTGCTTACAAGAAACACCATGTAGCAGACACAGTAGCTAGGCAATAGGTCAATTCTTAATATGCCCAATATTCAAAACATTTATTTTCAGCCACTAGGTTTTATTACATGGAGTACTAAGTTCCAAGGATTAACCTAAAGTTACATAGCTTCCATTTATGTACATATTTACCTTTAAATAGGAAAAAAACTAAAACTACTTTCAAAAACTATGTGGTCCCGAAAGAGGGTAACCCCAGACAAGTTTATAATCGCATCAGGGTGGGCCATTTTATAGAAATACCTGGTAATAAAGAACAGGTAAGAACATGACTTTCTAAAAAGAGTATGTTTAATGATAGTCACTTGCCTATTTACTGGGAGAAGGATGAAGTGATCAGAAATACTAGCTATTTCAAATAGACAGTAGAACTGTAATAAATTACTGCAATTCATATGGTCTTAAATTCCTAACTGAAATCTTTTAATAGCCGATTTCCACTCTCACTATTTCCTAGTTTATTCTAGCATCTATTCTTTATGAAACACTACATTAAGAATGTTTGTTAAGCACGTTTCTGGAAGCATTTAAAGTATTTCTTAAAACAGTGAATTACTGTGTGTTCCTAGACTGTTATTTATGCTTCAGGAATCAACACATGATATCAGTTCTGCTAGAATTTGTAAACTGTCAGAATAATCTTGAAAGTTATGATAATCTAATGAAGTAACTTCCTGATATTCACCATCATTTAAAGTGACTGACAGGTCAACACTTACAGGAAAAAATTAAACAGTTAAATATTCATCAACTTTGATAACTATTAAAGAAGCAAAAAACTCATATGCCTCAAAGGAGTTGTACTCTCATCGCTAAGATTTCAATTATAATTTGGTTTTTAAAAATGTAGTCTATATAAAAACTTCATTATTTCATAAACATTAACTACATTTCATGATTCATATCATGTTTGGGACCAATAAATTTGATTTCTTCCAGCCTGCGCTCTCAGTTCGAGACCATTATATTAAACTGATCAGGAATGTTAATAAAGCAAAACAATTATTTTAAGGCTTTTTTTTTTTAAGTGAGAACACATTTTGCTCGGAGGTCTCCTGCTATTTCCATTTATCGTACTCCTGTCTCAAGAAAATAGAGCCAGTTGTCTCCCTTTTCTATCGCAAGTGACATTTTATGTCATTGGGTTCCAGATCAACAATGATTTCATGCCAAGGCTTCTTCTACATTTATACTTCTATTAAGCCATGCAAGGAAGCATACAAATGCATGTTAGCAGAGGACTATTAAACCAGAAAGTTGAGGTCTGATCATTAGAACTGGAACTTGGCTACAACAGCAAGACTATCACCCCCCTTTAAGAAATCCCATATTAAGGAGCTCATGTCAATTTCTGTTTGCTTACAGAAAACCTCCATATAACTTACAAATATGCAAAGGAAAAGACATTCAAAAAACCATTCTGCACAAAACTTTTCAGCTATCATTTACAAATAAAAGTTCCTGAAAAGCAGTGTATTTTGAAAATTTGCCAATACTTCATGAATTTTCCTAATTTCTTTAACAATTTTCATGAGAAACTTTACATGTAAAGATAAAAATAGAGATGTTTATAATGCGCACCTAATGAGCATATGCCTACACACACATGTATGTGTATCATATACATATGTGTATGTATACATATATCCACACACACCCAACCATCAATACAGCAGAGATTCTTTTTCTTTTTTTTTAATGACATTTTCCCTGACCTCGAATTTCCTCATGACAAAAAAAAGTGTCTTTTTGAACAAAACTACTGAATAACTTCAAAGAAATAGACTTCAACCTAACCAAAACAGACAATTGGGCTAAATGACTACTTTTACCCGAGACATCAATTCACATTCCCCATCTTCTCCAGCATCTTTGTCTTATCAATTAATACCATAGGTGCTCAAACTAAAGCTTCTGTAGTTCGCAACTAACTTTCAATAGTTATTAATCTGTTTCTCAATTTATGTGGAAAAAGATAGGAAAAAAAGGAACATGAAAACAACAATAGCCACTAACCCAGTAATAGTATCAACACAGAAAAACATCAAATGAACATCTCGGGTAGAAAATTAAAACTTGGGAAACAGAAACAATACAAGAGCTCAAAAGCTACAAAGTAACAGGAAAAGAGAAACAAATAGGATAAACATCAATGTCATTACACATACTTTCTGGAACAGAGGTGTCCGAGCAAACTAAAAGGCTACTTAAGGTTATGATCTCTTTACATCGGGTTCTTATCAGACAGAAGACGGTTGGAAAGCACAGTCTCAAGAGGATAGAGCTGTTTGCTAGCAACTGGTGAACATACAGTGTGGTGGTATTTCTATCCTAGCACTATATATTTGAAAGAGTAATTTTAGAAGCATAGCAGGTGTGATTTATCTTTACTACAATCTTACATCAAGTAACTCAAGGCAGGGTAAAAAACAAAGAAACAAAAAAATCTAACCCATTTTTAATCTTTTAAAGGAATCTCTTCGGATTCTCTAGCTAGAGCAGTAGCTTCAAGATCCAAAGACTATTTGCTGATGACCGACAAAAGCCTTGTTTATCATTCAAAGATAATTCCTTATTATTATATAGTATCAAATGTGTTGTCCCTCCCGCATCTTAAGTATTCTATTAGCATTCCATGAAGAATGTAAGTTTTATATAATGGAAGCAAATGTGATACATGCAACAACAAACGGGAATGAAGATGTCCTTTGTCAAAGTGATTTTCAACCAGTAATTTTTTGAATGAGTCAAGTTCTTCAAATAAATGATTAATAAAAAAAGATTAACTTTTGTTTTTACACTTAGGGACTAAAACTTAGAATACACTGTTGCTTTTCCTCAACAAACATGAGTGCAGCAACAATGAAACTTTAACCAGGAAAAAACCCAAATACAGATACCTATGACTTTAGAGTCAGGATATAGGAAAATATCCTACGTATGATTAGATATATAGCTTGGGCTGACTGTAACTTAAAATAATCACCTGCCGCAGTATTTAAGAAGAGACTTCTAAAGTTTAATTACTTATTTGAAAAGAAACATTTGTAATAAATGTTTAAATAAAAGGGTTGCAAAAGAATGCAAGGGATGCACAGCAGGAAGGATACCACTCACACACAGCAAAGACTCTCTTAAACAATGCCAACTTGTATGACAGCAAATGTTATAGAATTGGGGAATGAAATGCAGAAAGTCATACCCGAGAAGGAATGGCATGTTTTACTCACAGAACTCCTCCTCCAGGAGGTTTGCGTAAATTTATCAGCATACACGCACGTTGCCCCTGTAGGTTTTTGACTGTCTTTCTGGCAGTTACATCTAGTGGCCTTAATCACCCCCAAAAAGAGAAACAGAAAGGAGAATTTGTTAGAAAATAACTAAGACACTTGAAAAGCACAGTCAAGGCCCAATGTTCAAACATCATGCATTACTTGGCAGTATAGCACAACACGATTAAACTGCAGAAACTAGTATTTACAGTGCTGCACAACTGCTTCTTTTCCCAAAGCATATTTATAAATAATTTAGAATAAACGTTGACTTCTGGAAAGGGTTTTTGATTCACTTAAATTTCTGAAGCACCACATTCTTTAAGTCACCTTTCAATAATTACGAATACAAGTTTTACCCATCTTTACAGCAGAATTCCTTAACTGCAACAAAGTTTTCAGTTACTACAGTAATTAGGTATACAGCCTACCAGGAAGGATAAATTTCCTTGAAGAAATCTTTGAAGGCTGATGGTAAGGGCGAGACTAAGCGTACTGAAAAATCAACTCAATGCAAAATACTAATAGACAAGACAACTTGTTTTGGTATCCTGTGATCTGGAATTCTGTTGTTTAAGCAGAGCAGAAAGCCGTATCTTAACCTTTCATTTTTGTTTTAGAGGGAATGATCACATGCTAGACAGAAAGAGGATGAAGACCACAGGCCAGTTTCAGTGCATGTATGTATAAAAGCACATGCTAAACATCTCATTAGAGATTATAGTCACACAAGACTGTCTCCAGCCATGATAAATAAATACGGCATGCACCTCTTGGCATCTCATCTACCCCACTTTTAAGATCTAACTGTGGCTTGAAATGGCTTGAAAACATGGGGTTATTTTACAAGAATTGTAACAGCAGGTGAGTTTACAGCGAAATCCAAAGTTAACTTTGAACAAGAGCGAAACGCAAAAAGGCATATGTTACTTTTGCTTGAGGACTTGTGTCCGCTTGAACCTGATTTATGATAAAAGCGCACCCATAGCTTTTATTTATTTGGCCAATTTAATCTTACTATTCAACATGCTTTGTTTTGTTTTGTTTTAAAAAGATTCAACTTTGAATACTACCTTGCTCGGCTTTAAATTCTATGGTGGAATTCTTTATTAAACTAATGGACAGTAGGGAAAAGAAGAGGGAGAAAAACACAACAAAATTCAAGCAGAATGATAGGCCTGATACTTGTTAATTTTTAAAATACTTTATGCTTAAAGTGCCTTATCTCTGCTCATTGTTATTTCTGAACAGCTTCTAGAATTTTATGTTCAAAGTGTTTGTTTTGGAAGTGAAATATATTTAACAATCATATAAACATCCTTGCTTAGTGCCACACACAGAAATCATGACTAGCCTACAGCATTAAAGATCCCAAACGTACAGTCGGAAACACACTAGCACATGTAGAATCGGTTTGCTAGCTGAACCATTACAGACCCATGAGTCAGGTGGGTCTAAACAGAACCCAAGTCTACCTTTGTTATAATGAAAGTGTAGGAAAAACATTAGACATCTAGCCCTCTGAAAGCCTTCATAAGGATTACCTATTGAAGTTACACTCTGCAGTGCATACTTCAGATATCGTTAAACATTTAGTATTATACTTACAAGTTGATGCTCTAATTGGTTGATTGTTTCATCCTTTTTCTTCAGTTCATCTTTAAGCTGCCTGATCTCATTCAGCAGATCATCCATCTGCAACAGAACAGTGGGCAATATAAGGTTTTCTATAAAGGCTACATAATCTAAATCAGCACCTCTACAGGACATACTATATCAGGTGTTCATGGAGGACCAGCAGTAACATTAGCACATGCTTTCCTCCTCTTATTCGCATGGTGAGATGGGCTGTAGGCATACAACCTAAAGAGTGAAGAAACTTGACTAGAAGTCTCTTTAAAAGACAGAGTTGAGCCAGCCCACTAAATTTTCAGGCTATGTAAGTAAATCACCTGCATTTTTGATGTGGTAATTCATCTGTTGTACAAGCGACTGGCATCACGGAGATGAACATCCCTAGCCATCACATACTACCTATACTCCTCTTTACACAAAAACAAAAAATACCAAAGTTTAAAGGTTAAGTGAACTTATCATTAAGATAAAATGATAGAAACAAGAAAAAAATCATTTAGAAACATAAGCATAACTGTGTTTACTGAATGCAAACAGCACAACTGATTTGAACACATCCTACTAAAAACTGAAGATTTAAAATAATTATGCAAAGTTCAGAGACTAAAAAAAATTGGTAAATATGCAAGAATGAATTTTTTTTAAACAATCTTTCATCACAAAGTAATTTTAGTGTATTTTATAACTGTGTCATTATAGCTAGGCCACAAATTAAGGGGCATACTTCCATTTAGTAGCATACATCTACTATTTCAGTTTCACTGAAGATGTTATTAGTTACTGCTTTAGGACAACACCCAGACTGATTTGTTGTGCAATTTTTCAAAACATATGACAGTAACAGGTAAAGAAGTGACAATTCAAAATGTCAGTTAAACCTATCTTTTTTTTTGTTACGAAGTTAAAAAGCAATACTTTTTCCTCTAGGAATTAAGACTAGGATTTTGAGGGAGGCGATTGTAGAAGGACAAGAACAACAAATACATCAGACAGCAATTAAAGAAAAAAGAAGGCCTAAATGTTAACAATGTAGAAACCAGGATTGCTAAAGAATGATGCATATGGATCTACAGCTTTGGCAAACCTCTTAAACCCTGAAACCAGGATTTGGACAGATGACCTTCAAACAGGAATAAGATTGTAAGCGTTCTTCCCTTTCAAGAAGTATTTCTAATTTCATTGTATCTTCAGCAAGTATTGTTCCCCTACTCTAAGTGCAGGATTAGTGATCTTTCTGTATTGGTTTTACAAAAAGAGCCTCAAGCAATGCTATAAAACCTTAGCACTGTAGAAAGTACAACATTACAAGTCTGTTACTATAAAAGATGATCCTTTTTGGAATATCCATTGTGATTGCTTCTTCCTTTAATACGCATTCTAAAACAATAAACACATCTTTGACTTCGTGGGGTTCACATTTTTTTTAAGTTACGTCTGCAATACCTGCATTATCTCAGGGAAAACTTACTTTAGACGAAAGAATTTTAAACTGAAGTCAACAATAAATGTAATGAAAGAGCAAGTAATTGAATAAGTATGGCATAGAATCATAGAATCATTGGGGTTGGAAAAGACCTCTAAGATCATCGAGTCCAACCGTCGACCCAACACCACCACCCACTAAACCATGTCCCTAAGTGCCTCATCTACTCGTCTTTTAAATACCTCCAGGGATAACACTGCATGAGTACACTTCAAAGCAAAAATTGTCTTTTCAAATTCTAACAATTATCAAGCAGGCACCAAATTTTTGAAAGAAGTTACATCTGTTAATTCCCACATGACTGCTACAAATACCAAAAGGTAAAGTTATTTTAATTATTTAAACAGTGCTAGCATTTGTAAGACTGTATTTTAAAAGGTCAAACCCTTCCATTTTAACAAAACTGAAAAGATGAAGTATATAAATGCAAACCTAGCAAATGTTTAAGTAGATGAAAGCAGCAAGAAGCACTACTTCACAGTGACACAGAAGTCTCTGGTTTTTAAAGACAAACAGGCTTGTATCTCTTATTCTGTAGAGTAAATCATTGTCATTTACCTTAAAAGTTGACTCAGGTTCTTGCGGTTCTGGACTCGATGGAACTGAGAGTGGGATGTCCTGGAGCGACACATTTTCATCATTCTATCAGAGGACAAAAACAAGAACAAAAGCTCAAACTACTTGCTGAAACAACTCCCTTGCAAACTTGCTTTCAAGGATGGAGACACATCACCTCTCTGTGGAACCCGTTACAATGTCTGACCTCTCTCACTATGAATTTTCCTTTTTTTCCCCTGATAGGAAAGCCTCCTTTGCTGCAGCACGTGTACAGTGCCCAAGTAAGGGCCATGAACAGCCTCCCTCTCTTCACAAAGCTGAAGGAACAGCTGCAGCTACGTCAAAGTAAATTGATTTTGCACAAAAATCTGGTAAAAACTGGCCATCGTGTTCAAATATGTTATATCAGGAAGGAATGGTGATGCTATGCAATTTTAAAAGCTTAATTTCCTTCAGTATCCATGCAAATAATATGTCTAAGCAATATCAAAATATACAGCCAAAATATTACAGGTAGGAATTCTTAACTAAAAAAAAGCAACATTTGCTACTGCGCAGACTAATACAAAATTAATTCACAGCCATCAGAACTAAATATCAATTATAAAAACTGGAACCACACAAAAGTATTCTTTCCCCCATGACAGTCATGAATTCTGAAATTAAGCACAGCAAGTAGAAACAGAAATAACCATCAAAGATGCCAAAAGCTGATTCCTTGGATAAGTCCCGAAGCACTTACATTCTCGTGACAAAAACACACACAGCCATTACGTGCAGTACTTTAAACCCGTAGCACTCAACCCTGACAAGGTTCAGTCAGGTTAGAGTCAAGTCACAGACTGAACAACTGTGGTGTATTCTCGTGATACAGTCTCAGGTTTGTACCGTGATGTTGTGTCCAATCTTAGTGTGAAACAAAACTACAGTACAATTACAGTGTAGTTATTTTATGGTCATGGAGGATCATAACCCCATCTCCTTGGTGTAGAAAGATTTATTCCCCCTCCCCCCCCTTTCTGTCCATCTCCTCCATCTGCTACCTTCTTAAAGAAAAAATAAATTAATCTTCTACCTTACAGTATTCTCCTTTATTTTTTTAGGATTCTTAGAGGGGAGTTTCTTTACGCAATGACCTCACCGCCTAAGATTGCATTTGTAGAATCTAAGAGCAGCATGTCTCAAAACCTGTCTAAAACCACTCTGAGGCTGAGCCAGCAACTCCCCAAAACCACAAGAGTAAAACTGCAGCTCAAACGCTACAGATCAATTACAGGAAAAAAACCACAATAGACCTATTTATGTTCTTTCTGTCCGTGAGGTATCTTTTTTGCTTTTTAATCCATAAGAGATTTCTTATGAGTTTTTAACTAAACTTCAGAAAAACATCAACGAGATTGTCCACATGCAAGAAACCAAAAAATTAAAATTAATGAACTTTTAGCAATTAAATTTTTACTTTTTCCTATAGTCACCAATTACTTGCAGCCAAAATATGCACAACCATCACCAGACTTAAGAGATAAAAATTCTAAGAACTATCATACAATTCCAAATTGCTTTTACCATACTACAGACAGTTAAATTTAATTTCCATCACTTAGATGTAATTTTATATCTTGCAGGTTTCTGATGTTGTTTTGTTGTTGTTGGGTTTTTTTAACTTCTTGACTTTTTTTTTTTTTTTGTTTTTTGTTTTTTTAAAAAGACTATTAATAGTGAGAGCAGTCAAATTTCAAGGCTTCTGACTCTTTAATGTAGATTGGATAACGTTGTATCCAATTCACAAGTAGCTGTTTGTCCCTTCTGGGCAGATCGCCAGCAAGTGACAGGCTGATGAAGCAGCAGTCTACAATCTATGTTATGAACCAGTTCTAATAGTGTTTTGAAATAATTTTCACAATAATATCATAAAGAAAACAAACATTATTTAATCCAAAACATTTCTAAAATGCTAGAGGAAATGAGCAGCAATTGGAGTCATATAATCATTTACAGATTAACAGATTATATTTCATATAATTATAATATAATATTTCATAAATATTTCATATTTATCTTATGTTCTACAATTAACAGATTTCATCAACAGTTGTTATTTTAAACAACTATTCAAACAAATGCACGCACTCAGAAGAAAAGCTACATCAGATGGTCACAGTTATAATTGTGCAGGAGTAACCATGGGAATGGAAAAAACACAAAACAAACTATTTCAAGCAAAAGCATCTTGCATGGCTTTTAAAAGCTCTATCACCGATATCTCTGGTATACCTTTTATTTGCATTAAAATGCATGTAAGTGGAGCAATAAGACGATACAACAGCAGATTAAGACCTAATTGCAAAGAAAGTTAGTATGTCACATATTCTCTGATGATTTAAATCAAGTACTCCAGCCCTATGCTATACCTGACTAACATTCACTAGCAAAGCAAGAAATAAGTTCATTTGCATCAATTCCCTTACCACTGTCTTAATTATCTTAATACATATAATGAACATTGGGCAACTGAAAAAAAAAAATCAGTTCTAACACTATCAGTGCGAACTTAAGCATCCCATTGAGAACATATGCTAGGATTAATCTAGGAAACTTTTCTTGTTTTGCTTTTTCTTTCTTCCTCATCATATTGCTAAAATGAGATTGGGGAAGGGGAAATCAGCAGAATAAGGCTATCCATGTACAAAACAGATTAGAATTAGCAAAAAGACAATAGAATTAGCAAAACAAATGCAACTGGTTATATACACATGCTATTTTTGCTAGCCTAGAAATTATATGCTAAGATATCATCAAATTTCAGAAACTTGGAGAGAACATATACTTTTAACCTTTAGGTAAAATTACAATAAACTTTATAAAGGTATCATCGCATTGCAATAGGCAATATAAAAAGCTGCTACCTCTTGGTTTTTACCTAACATTTTTACTACAGTAGTATACATTATTAATTATAGTATAATCACATCTTCAGAGCAGTTATACTAGCCCCATTTGTGCCAAATGTAAAGGACGGCTTACAAAAACAAGAGCTCAGTTTGTTAGCCATATCAAAAACAAATGCTTATCAAATGCACTGAAAAATAAGTTCTACTTATAAACATAAGCAGCAACAAAAAATTTTAATCTGGTTTCCTTAGCAGAAGATTGCTTTTGAAAAACAACAACATGAGAAGGAAAAAATAGTTGTTAATATTTTTAACTATTTCCTAAATTTAAAACATTGCAACAAACAACTCAAACCTTAAACATTCTGGCAATCCTGGTACAGTGATTTTTAAACATTACTGGTAGTTTAGGCATGAAAATAACCTGCAGTACGTAAACTGACAGAGGATTAATGTTGCAGACATTCACATTTAATTAGTTATGTAGGGCTAGTCTTCAGTTATAGATTGATTATTTTAAACTGATATAAATTCATACATATATACATTTGCATGCAGTGTTTAATCAAGAATATGCTTATTTTAGAAACAGTCAAGTAACATGGCAGCGACAGATCATTTCACAGTTCTTTTCTTGTCGCTACGAGTATAGGCAACCCATTTGAATCGCTACCTGTCTACAGTGATTTTCAACTCAGTCGCACTTACTGGAAAGTTTTTGCTGGACTTAAGTGAACAGCATACACTTCAGCTTTTGGCCAGTTTTGGGTGGTCCCTATGTACTAAACTAAGGTAATCACATGCCTCAAGATATGTTTTAAAGTGGCTTATAAAATTACAGCAAACATGGAGTCCGAAACCATTACAAAATACCCCAGCAAGACTTAGAAAATCATCCTATATTTACTAATAGCTACATAAAGGGAACAGGTGGTTGTGATGGAAAAAAAAAAATCCACACACAAATTCCCTTCAAACACTTTTAGAATACTAAAAGACTAAAAGGTTGCTCTGAAAAAAACTTTGTGCTAACTTTTTGAAGACAAGCGTAAAGAGAGAATTATAATGTCTATACAAGAAATCCAGAGGAATGTCTAAAGCTTTACAACCAAGACTATCAAAGTAGCCTCATTTCATGCTGAATATTATTTCAGCTTCATATTCCTTTGCAAAGGGTATCTGCTGAGAAAATGAATACCATCTTAGTTTTCTACAAACCAGGTGATTTTATTGTTTTAGGACAAACTCAATGAGAGTTACGGATACAATTTTTACGTGTACATGTAGGCAAAATACGTAACAATCCTTCCTTCCCCAAGTGTTGAACACTGTCATGCACCTTATTTCTCTGGACAATTAATTTTCTACCCGTCAAACATTTTTACATACCCACTCCCAAATGCTACAGTCTAACTGAAGCACTTGATTATATTCTCAAGTCTGCATCTGTCATTTTTAATCCAGCCCAAGAACACGAGCTAAAGGTTATGGGAATAACCTTGCATCATGGCTGTCACAGGGATACCACAACTCACCCAAATACAAAGAGCCACAAATTGAAACCTCTATTTTTGAGTGGCTGTACTTAACATGCTCTCATGCCAATATTTTACAAGCGTGAAATCTTTAGTAGCAATGACACACAAATCCCCGTGCTTGCTTCACCTTACAAATTCCCAAAGAACTGACTTACTGCTTTTGGTAAAAAAAATACTAAACATTAATTTTTATTTAGTGACAGACTATTATTTATGAAGAAGTCTATCAGATACAAGTATTTAGTCAAGAATGGCCTAATAAAAAACCCTCACTACCTTTCTAACCTACTGTGCTGATTATACACAGCAGCAGTTTACCTACTGTAGATTGTTGGGCTTTGAGCACTGCAGTATTTCTGCTGATAAACAGTTCAGCAGCTCAAAAATGCCACATTTGCTTGTATTTTCTCCTATCCTCTCAGCAGTTACATGTTCGCACTTTATGTGCCTCTATTTTAAAAAGAAAAAAAATACAACCAAAAGAAAAGTCAAGCTCTGTGACTAAATACACCATAATAGTCCCCGATTTTACAACATAAAAACCCCCCCCCTTCTATCCAGCATCCAGACGGTGCAGCTGTTCTCACTGCCTATCCTTTCCATCTTCTCTTTTCCCCTTGCTTTCTTTGGGTGGTACTACTTGCAGACTGTAGTT